CAACTTTTGAGCCACTTAGACTGCTAAATACTTTTGAGGCTCTGGGGCCAAGTCCACTCTGAGGTGCCACTGACATTTGCATAGCTGTCACCTACTCCAGTCCCCTTAGGGGAATGAAAGTTGCCACTGGTCAGCATTTGCAAAATTGAGCTGCCCAGGAGCTGTGGGATATATGTAATTAGGGTTCAGGCAGAGTCCGGCTGAAACCCCACAGCCCCCAAACTGAGATTCTCAAGCTAAGTGGGGGTAATATCTTTCTCACCAGTGGGGCTCAGCCCTAATCATGCCTAACACCTGCCACCTGTCAGACCCCACAGCAGGCAGGCTGCAGGCAGGCCACCCCTAGGTTTAAGGGCAGCATGTCATCCACATGAAAATGGAGGCACAGGGTGAGCAGGAGCAAAGTAACAAGCATGATCAGGAGACAGATTGTTTCAACTGCTGAGGCATGGGCTGCCTTCATGGCTGTCCTGACTACAGTGCCTAACTCCAGGAGAGGGCTCATGGCTGAGGTTCCCACATGGAGCAATGCACTGAGCCATGTGCACAAAGTCAGCCACCAATCAGGCAGCTGCTGCTGGCTTCCGAGAACCCCTTTCTGAGGCACCTGTTTCTCCCCAGGCACTTTACAGGGAAGCTGGTCAGGGAGCTCAGGGCTGGGAATGCCACTGGGTGGCAGAGCAGCTCGATGTTGCAACACTTAAGTACATGTAAGGCTCTAGGCCCTGGTGCCTGATCTGAAGAAGTGCTGAACCCTCGCAGCTGCAACTGAAGTCAATGGGAGCTGTGTTTGAAGATACACAGTGCTACTTAATGCCACATACTCTGAGCAATCAGGGTTCAGGTGTCTCAAATTGGGGATGAAAAATTACCGGATACGGCTGACCTTAAACTCTTGGTGCCTTTGTTCCCCATCTGTAAAATGGGAATAATACAGGGATGTTGTGCAGATAAATTCATGAATATTTGTGATGCACACAGATACTGTAATGATAAGCACTATAGAAAAACTCATGAGGAAATTAATACCGGTGGTTGAATGGGGTGCAGTGAACAAGGCATGGGTGCCACACCTCTAATGGAGCTAAAACGAAATATTAAATAGCTGCTGGTTAAGTGAGCAATGGCCATCCAGAACACTGAGTGAGGCAGGGGACCTGTAGAAAAAAACTGTATGGGATGAATTAAAGACTGTACCATAATTCATATGCACAAGGGGGATGAACTAAGGTTGCATGGGCAGCCTTCATTCTGGCATTTCTTAACTTTTGAGTTCTTGACTTTGCATTCTTTTAATGGAGTTCATAGAATATCAGGGTTGGAAGGGACCTCAGGAGGTCATCTAGTCCAACCCCCTGCTCAAAGCAGGACCAATCCCCAATTTTTGCCCCAGATCCCTAAATGGCCCCCTCAAGGGTTGAACTCACAACCCTGGGTTTAGCAGGCCAATGCTCAGACCACTAAGCTATCCCTTCCCCCGTTATGTAATATATAGGTGAGATCAAAAAGAGAAGGTTTCTGTGAGGCACTTGAGTGGTTCATGATGTGACTAAAAAATGCAAAAATAGAAAGGAAATAGTAGGGAAGAAAAAAAAAAAGCTTATTACTGCAGTATTGGGGGTCATATAAGCACTTAGACAAATAATACCAAGGAGAGTGCAATACATAATTCTTGGCACATTATATAGACCTTATCAGCCAAAGTACTCTACAAAAGTGGGTGAGCATCAGTAACTTCCACTGGCTCATGGATTAGTAAACACAAAGAAGTTAAGGGCCAATCCTTAGGAGTGGAGGAGTGCCTCACTAGAAGTACAGGGCCCTGAGCAACTCACAGGAGCAGGGCCTTACACTAATAAAAATGGACCCACCCTAGGACAACTGCACCCCAAAAATCTTAAAGACTGTGAAGTAATAAGAGAAATAGGAAAGTCTTTGTCAGGCCCAATTAAATGAAGATGCAGCTTCTGGATTGTTGCTAGAGCAGTTAAGAAAGGAGAATCTATTAAACTACAGACCGGTCAACAGTTGAGGAGAAAGATCCCAGGAGTGTGGGTAAGGGACAGAATTATATTGGGAATCAGATTAACAATAGACTTCTGAAGGATGGATTTATACACGTAAGACCATGTCTGACAGATCTGGTGAAACAAGTGGGAATATAAAAACCAGAATGGAAAATAAGGATGAATCAGTAATTTGTCTGAATTTCATGAAAACATTTTAATACTGTGCCATTTAATTACAAGTCGATTTCAAAAGTCAAAAAGCACAGTCCAGGGGAGATTTATTTACAGTGTTGTCTGTTGAAAAGTGTCTGTCTGCCCATGCTGTGCTCTGGGTGAAAGTTTCACATTTTTAAAACGTAATTCTATGGTCTAAACAGTACACAGTTTAAAAAAGAATTTATAACGAAACAACCAAACCCCACACAGAGACAAAAACTAGATTTGCAGAGCTAGGACTAGGAGTCTAACCATTTATCATAATTGTAAGAAATTCTGAGAAATCATTAGAAATATTGAACAAACCAAACAACAGAAACGTATGTACATTTTGATGAATAAAAAAAGTAGGTAAACTCTTCCATGGCTTCTTGGTCAGTAAAAGCAACTTCACCGAAGAAACCCCCCCCGTTTTGGGTAGGTTTGTGATACATAAAACGACCCAAAGTTGTCATCAGTCTTTGTGCTCCTACGATCAGTTGAAGCTGAAAGGCACAATGTAAACATGTGTCACAGCCATCCCATCATCTGGAAACACCGATGTTACTATGCCAAAGACTTGCTGTAAGTTATCAGTGGGGAAAAGATGCCCTATTGCTTAGAAGTTTCCACGTCTTGGCCTAACCTCACTTCTTGGAGCATGAGCTAAGAGCAAATACCCTGAGGAAACCGTGGCTTGGAGTTTCATAACAAGAGCATTCTTACACCATTTGGTTTCCAGTTTGGTTATCAGACATGTTTAATATGATAAAAATCAGCTAGTAACTGACTAAACATGAAGGGTTCAGAAAACCTAGAGGCCTTTTCATGTCCCTTTTCTCCATGTCAAATGCCTGGAAGTTTTTGTATGATACATTTGTGTATGTAACATGCTCTGAACCCCATTCGTCATTAAAAGCAGTGAATTATCTACCCCTCCCACTGCTGAAACAGGAATAGTGTGAATAGGGGCAAACCTTTAAAATTGCATCAGGCATCATGGTTACAGTGATGAAATGCTGAACAGAACATGGCTTCTCATACCAGCACGTCAATAAACATTCCACTAGAAATTCCAACTATCCTGGTAAAACAGAGTCCCCTCCTTTATGCCTATGAAGTGCCTACCACCCATGCCTCCCCCAACTATTCCATCCCACCATAATCAAATACACACAAAAATAGACATTATTTGTACACAATTCTGCCTTTACACGATTTCAATAAGACTTGGGTAATGCAGTTAAAAAACTAGAATGTGCTTTTGGATCTTCCGACAGTCCCCCCAAGTCTGGGAACGCATCACCCAGCTACCCTGTCAATAGCGTGTGTGCAAGCAAAGAATGATGAGAGTCCTCAGAAGGCAGTGTTAAAAAAATTCTACAGCAAGGGTGAACTGCAACCTTGCACAAAGGCCTATGCACCTCTTTAAAAAACTTAACACAAGTGGTGCCAAGTCTCTAGGGGCTTCTACTTGAGTGGGAGGCTGGGGATGGGGTTGAATTTCATCCAAGTGAATGATGTACCAAATCTGTGGCACTCTCCAGTCCAGTGAAGTATATCCTGATGTGGATTTGACAGTTGGGTGGTGGGGAGCGGGAAATACTATTGCACTTACATGACACCCCCCCACTCCAGTAGCCTCAAACACATCAGAGTTTTGGCTTCAACTAAGAAACAGCCACCCACTGGCTTCCAATGAGTAGGAGGATGCAGTGAGTTGTAAAGAGGAAGTCATGGGGCCCCTAATGCAGGTGTGGTCAGTAAACCCACATCTACAATGGAGAACAAAAGGGATTTTTTAAAACAACACACTTAACACGAAGTACATTTTTGGCTAAAAAGGATTTAGACGTTTCACTGAAACGTCCCAGTAAATATATGTCCAATAATCAAGCTCATGATGCTGAAAGTGTATCCACCTCAAGGCCTAAGAAACAAATATGCTCTTGTGCTAAAGGGGATAGCAGCCACTCTCTTAAAATAGAAGACTGGCTCAATATTCATTCTGAAGTGAAGGCGAGAGAGAAACCAGCAGACCTCTCTGCTAGTAAGCACATTGGTGTGCTTGGAACACATTCCCCGTTCATAGGATTGGAAGGATCAGGTTTTGATTGTCTTGATTACTTTTGACAGATGATACGGGCGAGCATTTCTCACTATCTTTTTCAGTGTTCATGAGTGGAAATTTTTGTACTAACAGGAATTTAAAAATTTTAAATCAAGGCAATATTTGTATAAACTGTAGTGACCGATTGTCCAAAATATAACCATAATAGTTCACATTGCTGTCTGTTAATTGAACTGACAGCAACAGAGGAGGAAGATAGATATCTACAAGAGCAACATATCATATGATATGTTCTTAACTTTCCCTCTCTGTACATTTTTTATTGTTAGTGATGGAATTTCTTTTCACCCATTTCAGCTAAAGGGCAAAAATGACAGTTGTAAACATTTTCTAATTAAAACCTAACCTTTCCAACACTAACTCTAAACAGATGGTCACTAAAACCAGCAAAACAGAGCACTGAAGCCATTTGGGACTTCAGTCTGCTAACCATCTGCAGAGTTTTCATCATGGATCCATCCCTCCTTGCACTGAAGTCAATGGGTCACATTCATCCCTGGAAGAAAATTCATCCGTCCAACTCACCAGGGATGAATTTAGCCAAATAAGTTAACGGACATTTTGTCACTGACTTCAACAGAAACAATCAAATCGTCTATCTTCCTTTCCTTCAAAAGATAGTTGAAGACCCACCCCGGAAATCATCTGAAAATTTACTTGCGATAGTTTTTGAAGCAAGCTGATGTTTTATTTTTCTAAATTTTTCCACTGCATTTTTTTAAATCAGTAGTTTTCAAAAGTGATTTATTTTTTAATTTGGAAAAAAAAAATCCCACTAAGCAACTAAGGTGATCAATCAATAGTGGCAAGTAAGAAATAAAAATCAACAACTCAGGATGATAAAGACTGCAAAGAGTAACAAGAAGAAATCAGCACCTCAACACATACATGAGGAACTCAACAGTAATGGAAAACAAAGAGGAAAAATGAAGACAAAACCCAACAGGTTACATTTTTCATTTACCATTTTCAAAGAAAAAATATTTTTAAAAAAATCTAATAGGTTTCGCACATAAAAATACCTCTTTTTGAAACAGACCATTTTTTGACCTAAGTTTTCATTTGAAAAATGTTAAGAGGCTCTAGTGACTATACCTAAAAATAAACATCTACAGGTCTCCCCTAGAAAGCACCTTCCCTCAGATATGTATGAGCAAATAGAGTTCAAATGAGATCAAATTCCTGAGGGAAGAGGCTGCCTTGAAAATTCCGACTGGCCACATTTGCCACGGCCTCTCCTTTGAAAAAAAGTGGCCAATTCTTCTTGCTTTCGTTATCCCAAAGAAGGCATCATTTCTACACCCAACTTTATATACAGAGAAAAGCTCTGGCAGCTATACAAAATACTCTTATAAACATAGAATAATTACTGAACTATTTACAAAAAGCAGCTCAACTCAATGCAGGCATGTTCTTCACAACAGCAAGATTACAGCAGTATTTGCATGTCGTCCCTGATACGCAGCTTGAGCTATGGTACATTTGGACATCAGAGGGAGAAAAAAGGGCTTCATATATTTAGCACAATCAGTGTCATTATCCTAGAAAGTTTTTGGCGGAACTTTGCCTTTCAACTTGTGAAAGAAAACTTTGGACATGTGTACATAAGAGATAATTTAACTGCCGGTTATAATTAAATAGGATTTTTTTTCCTCTGAACTTTCTCACAGAAAAGGAAATGAAAGAAAAATGATCTCCCACCAAAAATTTCCTTTTTCTTCTAAGTGCTGCTATTTTCGACACTTTATGTGTAATTCGCTGAGCTAAAGCAGTGGAACATGAAGACCAAGCAGGTCCCAAAGACGACAAAAAATGCAAGACAAAAAAAAATAAGTTAACATTTATCAAAACATTTTTACAGCAAGCAATCTGCCTAAATTTAAATAGTTTTCCTTTCAAAACCCACCTTTCAGCCAGCGCTCACCCCTTTCAGATAGTCATGCAGTGCTAAATTTAACAACTGCTTAAAAGCTGTAGCCCAAGTTGAAGAAAGCACTCAGCTGTTTTTGGTACCACAGGAAACGTTCCCTTCTCTGACATCAGTGGTTTTCTCTGACATCAGTGCTTTTTTTGAGCATGTGAAGTGTACTAAGAGTGTCTCCGTTTAGGATAAAAGGATGAGAACTGCACAGTCTGACATTCTTCCTTCTCACTTGAGTGGAGCTCTTGGAATTTCACATGTCTGAGGAAAGAAGAGACCTGACCGACAGTCAAGAGCCATTGTATAGCTCCAAGAGTAGGACGTGGTCTTTATTTCGTACAATAAGCAGCACATGGAACAGTGTTAAAATGATCCGTGTGTTACTGAAGTCCCACCAACTGTTATCACTGAAATGGCACTAGACAAATTCTGAACCTGTGGCAGATCAGCAGTGTCCTACAAAAAAGGGCTATGGGTTAAATTCACTCCTGTGCAGAAAGCCAGGACAAAGTCTCTACACCAGGGGTCTCCAAACTATGGCCCGCGGGCCGGATCCTGCCTGGGGCTTCCATTTGTCTGGCCCTCCAACCAACAAGGGACAAGCGAACAGCTGAGTAGGCATGCCGAGCAGCCAAGGGGAGGGGCCGCCGGCAGCAGCTCGCACCGGGGGAGGGGGTCTCAGCTGAGCTGTGCGGAGGGGTGAGTGCCCCCAGCAGCCAGTGTCCCCCCAAAAGGGGAGCCAAGTTAGGGGAGAGTTGCTGCTGCAGCTGAGCAGGCACGGACCCCTGCCTTAGAGTAAAAATACAAGCCAGATGCTTAATTACATCTCCAATAAATGGAGTAAAAAAGATAGAAATTAACAAATTTCATAATGGTTAAATTTTAACTACAGCACTAATAGAACCAAACAGTCCCAACCAACAATGGGAACCTGGAGCTTTTCTTACCAAAGTGCAGCCAAACTTTCAGTCCTGTGTCATTTTCTCCAGCAGAGCAGGCATGCCGAGCAGGCACAGGGAGAAGGGAGCAGGCACGGGGCAGAAGAGACCCAAAAAGGGGAGCCTGATTTACAATTTAAAGCAATACTGACAATTTTTTTAACGGTTTTGCATATATTTCATTTCTTTCACAGTCGCTTCGGCCCGCGAAGCCCCTTCAAAAAGCTAATATGGCCCTCGGCTCATAAAGTTTGGAGACCGCTGCTCTACACCATTTAAGCCCTCCTCGGTGTAACAGGTGGAAGGATGGTCAAGTGGTTAGGTCACTAGCGGGAGACCTGGGTTCTATTCCATGCTGCATGCCAGACTGCCTGTATGGTCTTTGGGACAGCTACACTGTGAGCTGGGGGTTTGCTTCTCAGCTTGAGGAGCCATACCTGTGGCTAGCTCTCAGTATAGCTGAAGTGGCAGGAGGTGCAAGCTGCCTGAATACAATCCCATGCAAAACCCTAGGCACATCCTTTGGGTGACTAACCCCTCACACCGCTGTAGCTACATTCAGGCTAGCACATGTGTGTCTCCTGGAGCTGCTGGGAATCACAGCCCCAGCTTGAGGTATAAACAGGTATAGGTTTAGTATCCACTCTGGGGATAACATAGGGGCATTATAAGGACCAACACATTAAAGTTTGTGGAGTGCTCAGACATTATAGTAATGGGGCCCTTATAGATACCTGAGATACATAGACAGAGCTCTGCTCAGGGTGGGAGAGAAGACTTTCACCATAAGGAATTGTCCACTCCTGGAAAGTTTTTTCAGCAAAAGCAAAGGAGTGAATGTAACCCGATATAATTACACAAGTATAACTCCTGTGGGGACACACTTACTCTGGCATAGGAGTCCCTTTTTTTCATTTTAGTGTACATTGCTTGGGAAGGGATGTAAGCACAACCAAAAAGAGTCACTTGTATACCAGAATAAGCGTGTCCACACACTGGGTTTAACTGCTTACACTTACCAGCGTTGATCAGGCCTTTCAGCTTACCTCAGCCTTGCTGGGCAGGAGGTGCCATGCTCCATTGTGTGAATGGCTAAGGGGACATTTTACATTGCACACGGGGGTTGCTTGGGAGAGCTGGCAGGAGCCAGGAGAGTCTCAGATACTTTCCCCCACAGAATTTTGAGTACCGTGAGACTCTTTTGTGCGTCATTTTCTACAGGCTTCAACCTGTTGTGCCCATTGAAGTCAAAAGCAAACTCCCAGGGTCAGCTTCTCTTCTAACTCTGACGGGCATAAATCAGGACTATCTCCATTGACTTTAACGGAGGGCTCTTTGGAGACACCTGCGCCTAGCACCACTGAACTACTTACACCGAGCAGATTTACAGCTACAGCTGGAGGCCCCTCTAGTGAGCGATGGGGTCTGTTATTCACAGAAGCATTTGTCTGTACTAGCTGCATGAAGGAAAAGGGAATTCAGCCTAAGAGCAGCTCCCCTAAACATCATGGCAAAGCTGCATTTTAAAGTATACAAGTACCTATTCAGAAGTTAAATACAATTAAAATAAAACCACTGGATGCTTTTCTTTAACATGTAACTCACTGTAGGCACTTCGAAACCAGATGGGAGATTATTTTTGGTGAGAGGCTTTTTTTTTTTTTTTTTTGTGATACAGCCCACATCACTTGATCCAAGGATCTGATCTAGGAACGACATTAGCATTGCAGAGTCTGCTCCATTTACAAACAAGTACCTAGGGAGTTAATTCACAGGGCTACTGAAAGAAGGACTTTCAGGAGGCCTAGTCTAATAGCAGCATTGAAGGTTAACTGGCACACAGAGGAGCGGTTTTCTTTCTATACATTTAAAATAGAAGAGAGAGCGAGCGCCGGCAGCTTCAGGGAACAGTGTTGTTGGGTGTATGCCAGAGGTGCGGCGTTTTTCTTGGGATCCCTTTTAACTGCATCATCAAAGTAAAGCGAGCTTCAAGTTGCAGCAAGCAGGGCTGGGAATCCCATGCTCTGCTGCACACATTGACTGAGGAAGTAGTTCAGGGTCCCCGAGATGAAGCTTCCTCATCTGAAGCGACAGTTGGGTTGCTTGTCAGCCGAACACGCTATCATTTACCGCTGTCCGAGTTGGTGTCCGTGTTTCTTTCTGGATCTGACGGTGCTGAATATGGAGCTTCCACGCTGTGCCCCATTCCATATGCAAAGTAAATGATAAAGCCTGTGGGAGCGAAGGTGGGGAAACGTCAGCACTATAACCAAGCGAAAGCTATTTTTCACACTTATGGGCCGCTTAGTCTCAATAAAATGTTTTGGCAGCTAACACTAATCTTGCTAACGCTTGAGATCGTAGCAATATCCAGCATTGCAACTAAAGTCAATGAGGTTAACCCCTTAAAGACACACGGGAGGGCAGAATTTGGCCGTACACATTTAAAATAAGTTTGGTTTCTCAACCTCAAATGGCTAAAAAGACACATTTTTAAACTCACCCATGAACATCCAGACAGCAAACCGTATCCAGGTCCCTTTATCCAGCTGCATCATGAGATAAACATTCACAAAAATACTCAGAATAGGAAGTAAAGGCAAAAGAGGTACCTGAAAAGAAAGAGAGGCCAGTGACGTCCACAGGTCATGATACCACAGAGACATGAATGTCCCTTGTAAGCCGGAAGCTGTGCTAACGTCCAAGCCTCATCTGCCAGAGGCTCCTGGAGAAGCGATGAGTCTGTCAAAACGCAGCTCTCCATTCCCCAAGGTGAGGACCACCATGAGCACCAGCCCCGTGTGCGCAGAAAGAAAGCCCTTTGGCTTGGATTTTCCCTCCAGGTGACGCCACAAACTAATCATCTTCCTTCCAAAGCCCTTTCCACTATCCTGCTCTGATACTGTTAGCTGCACTGTCTTCATCCTCCCCTACCTGGGAGTCAGCTTTGGTTCCTCGCTGTCTTTTTCATCTCACATCCAGGACCCCACCTAATCCTGCTCCTCCTACAATTCATCCCCCTCCTCTGTGGCCTCCCTCTCTACCCGCTCTCCTTATCCCAGTCCACCCAAAGAGCTGCTGCCAAAACCATCTCCCTTCACTGCTGCTCTGCCCACATCATCCTATTTCTTGACTCTCTGCAAAAGATTCCTCTATTCCAGCCTCTCCTCTTCACCTTCTGGGCTCTGCGCTCCCACTTACATTTCAGCCCTCCTCTCTTCCACTTCCCCCTCCTGCTTCCTCTGTTCTGCCCCAAGTGCCACTCTTCTCACGCTCTCCTAACTTAGTGCCTCCCTGTCCACAGGACAGCCTCACAGTTAACATATGCAAAGCTCCTTCATTCTCCTGCGTCAAAACCCTACCCATTCCATGGCACATTCCAGCTTCAGTGACCACCTGTTGCTTCCTTTCTGTACTGCACCGACTATTTGTTCTGAACTGAACCAGTTTGTGCTCACAGAACATAAGCCCCTCAGGGTTTTGATCTGTGATTTGCTTGGCTCAGCTTCTCTTGCTGCGCAGCACTCTGCTAGATAATACGAGAGAATGAAATCTGTCTCCAGGGGCTTGGTAGAGGGGCAGTCAGTTGTTAACACACTAATCTTTTGCTTTTGGGAATCTGGGTTTAATTTTGGTTTGGATCACAAGAGGAAAGCGAGTTTGGCGATCTCTGCCTCGCTCCCGCAGGACATCTCTCTACATATTCGAGGGTTAGTGCTGGAACAACAGGACCGCTCGCAGTCAGGTTGGAGCTGCACGGGCAGTGGTGTGGGATGGCTTGCCCAGTGTCCCTGCCTGAACTAGGCCCACCTTTAGCCAAGAAGATCAGCCCCTCACTAATATGCACCACAATTCCCTCTCTCTTTTTTCCTCTCACACACATGCACAGCCAGCTCCCAAACAGCTCTTTGCCATTCCTTCCTCACAGGCTGCTTACCTTAAACGAGAGCTTGGTTTTGCTTTCAGGTTGTCTCCAAATAATTAAACTGACAATGAGGCAAAGGAGAACGAGCACGGCAATCATGACGATAGCCCCCGCAGTCCCTTTTATCAGCAGGTCTTTGCCAAGGACAGTAAAGCTACAGCAGCTGACAATAAGTAAACCTGAGAACAAGACGGGCCAATGTTTATTGAATTGTGACTGAGCAAAACATTTGTAATTTCTGAGCCAGCCTCTGCATGTTCAACTTCACTGTTTGAGGGATTTATTTTTAAACCAGTCATTTAATCTATGGTTTTCTATGTCTGTTTTGTTGCCTCAGGCAAGCGTTTGGGCTCCAAAACAGTTAATCAAATGTATTAATTATCGATTAAGATGCCAAGAAGACTTTGAATGAGCTTCCCTAGACTGGCAGCTGGCTCACGGCAAGAGAGATGCCAGGTCACAGTACTCACCTATGATACAAGATGAGATGTTCACCACCAAACCAGAGAGTCTGGAGGGATCTGAGTTTGGGGGAAACAGAATGCCTTTTATGGAATATTTCTCCTCCTCTTCAGGCAGAAACGCAGCCTGCGATTCACTGGTGCTTGCAGACTCATTGGTGTCTGGCTCCTCCGTTGTACTAGCCATCTGGTAGGCCAGGTTAGGCTGCTCTGGCTGGTACCTTGGAGAAGGAAAACAAAACCAAAAGAGCACTGCCTTGGTAGAGCGTACAGTAAACTGTCATCCAGAATTAGAAGAAAGCTTGCTCAGAGCTCTCCACATGGCTACGGACACCTGCGAGGCTTCAGAAGACATGCTGTGGCCAAAATTTACTGAAATGGGAGCCACACTGGCTACTTGTCTGGAGCCGAAGGGAACCATCTGGTATGCACAGTTGGAGGACACTGCTCAGGGATTAGGCAACTGGGGGTTGGAGCACACAAATGGGGGCTGGAGTATGGAATACATACTGTAGGCAGCAATCCTGGATTTGGGAGGAGCACGGACTAGATGTCCTAATAGGTCCTTTCCCACACTCTTGTGTTATCGTCCCAGAATTCAATGCTCTGTCCTTCAGCTGAGCAGAGGCCGCTCAGATCTAGATGGAGGATTGCACGTTGGGTCACATAGGCCCTGATTCTTGGGTGTGTCTGAGCTGTGCTCAGCAGAGGAACCAGGGACGGGAGACAAAGGTGGCTTTTATGTCACCTTTGAACGCTCCCAAATCCCTTGGGCAGCTGGAGACCAGTTCACCCCCTTGAGCAATTTAGAACAGCCTCAGGGCAGCTCTGTCACACCAGCTTCTAACAGACCCCCACAGGGCCATCACCGCAGTGAAGTAGCACCAAAACACAGTACCTAAGCAGTGGGTTGTGACAGTGAGTAATGGATATGGCAGTAGGGAACTGGCTGGCTCTTTTAATCATTCATTTCCAGACTTTCTAATGTTTGGGAGTTAAGTTTGAAGGAATAGCTATTTTGGTCTGGAGGCAGGATAGCTGGACTAACAGCTAGACAGCTGGCATGTTGTAGCTGCTGTTTATTATACAAAACTAGATCATCTCACAGTTGCCTTATCCTTGTTCCTCCCCCACCCCATCTATCTATTTGCTGTATCTGCCTATTGTCTCATGTCATATGTTAAGATGGTAAGCTGTCTGCAGCAGGGACTGGTTTTTATTACATGTGTCCAGTATCTAGTACAATGGGGCCTTGATGCCTGATCAGGTCCTACCACAACAGAAAGAAAAACTCCTCTAACACACGCTTTCACCCTTAACTCTCTTTTAACCAAGAGCCTTACTGGTGAATCTCCGTAGGTTTATAGCACCAGCTTCAATTAAAGGAACAGGCCATTTCAAAGGGCCCCTTTTAAATCTCTTCTTGCAGATGTATTTTAAATGAAGATTCATGTGGGATTTTGTAGATGTGCAAGCTCAGCAAGATTGCACCAGCAGTGAGAACCTCTAACAACTTATGCAGCAACTCAAACGCTGCAACATCAGGCAGCGAAGTGGGAAACTGAAGCTCAGCTGAACTCAGGCTTCCATTCTTCAGGCCTGTAGGCAGCTGTGGCTTACAACACTAGCTCTACCGGGATGCGGCTGAGGCCTTGTGAGTGCAGCACTGCATGCCAGATGAAACGCACAGCAGCTTGTAGCAGCAGACAAGGGAGCCACCTGCCCATCTGAAGGACTGGAAGGGAGCTGCTATTTTGCAGTTGCTACACAGGAGAGGAGATTGGGAAATAAAATGAAAACACAGGGGTGCCTGGACAGGGGAAATCCAGCGAGGAATAAATCCAGGCTTTGAATAAATGATAAATACTTTAAAGTCACCTGGCACCTTTCAACTCCGAGCTTTTTACAAACATGAGGGGCGTGGAATTTATAATTGCTCTGTGGAGCAGGAAAATATTATCATCCCCCTGGTAGCTGAGTAAACTGAGACACAAAGCAGCTAGAGACTCAGCTTTCAGACGTGCTGACCATGAGCTTCGGTCAATGGGAGGTGTGGGTGTTCAGCACTTCTTTTTTTTTTTTTTAAAAAAAAGGCATTAAGGCCCCAATTCTGCAAACACTTATGCACATGCTTAACTTTACCACTATTACTTTCCTTAGCTTTACTATTTATTTACAGTACTGAAGTTCAGCACAGCATAAGTGTTTGCAGGATCAGGGCCTTAGTGACTTACCCAAGGTCTGTGGAAGAGTCAGAAATAGAACCACAGGAGCCCTGTGATCAGTTCTTGCTCTAATCATTGGACCCCATGGCCCCTAATCTCCTGAAGCACACGCTTTCCTACAGGTGGGAAGAAGGACAGAGGAAAACTACATAGTTCCTCCTCTAGCAACGTTTCCAAAAGACCCTGGGGCAGGATTTCTTCCCCCATCTCAAGGGATTTGTCTCCCTGACCTCTGCAGCTCATCCCGTCCCCTCTCTTAGCAAGGCTCCACTGATAGGCATCCCCATACTGGCTTTTCCCCCCAGATCCCCACCTAACCAACGGCAGGGTTCCTGGGCATGCAGTGAATCCTTGCACAAGGCAATGTGGCTTTACCACTGGAGTGGATTCCTTGGCGGTTCATGTAGGGGGAGCTGTGGCAGCAGAGCCCGGGTGCATCAGACATTTACAATGACTTGAAGTCTGGAATAGGCGTTCAGTGACCCCTTTCACCCATGCAGGAAAATTGGCTTTCTGGGTTTAAAACAGCTGACATTTAAACTGAGGCCAAAAGGAAAAATCTCCACACAAAAAAAGGCTTACGATGAAATGACAGCCTTGGTCCTGCAGCGTCCTCGTCTTACCTCCCCCTTGGTGACAGTGGTGGATGTTGCAAAAGGGTGGGGGCAAGGGGGGGATGGAAAAAAAAAGAGGCAGATGATCTTGCACATTGTACTTTACTGAGCGCCTGCCCGCTTGTCTCCCAAGGCTGGCTTAAGCCTTCACAGCCACCCTGTGCCTGCAGGCAGCTGAATGCCACTGGCTGCCTTGGGATCTCTTGGATATTATTAACGAGCCAAACCAAACCAAACCACACCTGGGGAGGAGAAAGAGTGAGGAGAGAGCGGCTTAAGGCATTGGGCACGAAAAGCCCCTTTGCTCTTTGTTCTTTGCAAGGAGAATTAGGTCCAATTCCCTTTGCAAAGAAATAATAATAATAAAAAAGAAAGAATGCAAAATCTGAGCGGTGCACCCGCCACCCAGAGCAGTTGGGGAAAGGAGGCACTTTGCTGAGGGGGTGGGAGGGATTTGGGTTGTAACTGCACCGATGACGTGCCTATTCAGTGCTTTGCGTGGAGAGCGAAGGAGGAGGCTGGCTGCCTTTAGGACTTTGTATCGCACCCCTTTTGAACAGAGTTGTATCAATTCAGGGTTGCCAGCGCATTTTATTTTGTAGCAGATGCTAATAAGGAAGGAGGATCTAGACAGCGAGGTTTGCAAGCCCACCCTGGACAAAAAGGAAAGTCATTATGGAGGGTTCAGTCCAAGGTGTCGAACGGATTCTGTGTTGTGCAAATAATAACTGCCCGGTGGGGACAGGGTTGTGAGTCCCCGATGAGCGCTGCCCAGAGGAGGCAGATTGCAAAGTAAATAAACACAGGAGCTCTCCCACAGCACTACACTCCTGCTCAGATTTGGGTTGGGCTGGATGCTAAGATTTGGGTTGGGCTGGATGGCAGGCCCACCCATGGCTATGCCCCTGTCATGTGTTGGCACGTGTGCTACATTTGAGGATATTTTGTGTTCCCAAGAGATGATTCTTTGTGCAGGGTTCCAGGATATCATACGAACATAAGAGCAGCCACACTGGGTCAGACCAAAGGTCCATCTAGCCCAGTATCCTGTCTTCCAACAGTGGCCAATGGCAGGTGCCCAGAGGGAATGAACAGAACAGGGAATCATCACGTGATCCATCCCTGTCGCCCATTCCCAGGCTCTGGCAAACAGCTTGTCACATTAATCCATACCTCAGTACCAATACACAGGCAGCCACCATGGAATAAGCCAGCAGGGTCCCGATGGACATAAGATCCACAAGATCTTTCAGGTCGAAAAGAAAGGCCATGGCAGCTGAGGAACGTGGAAAACAGAAACTGATAAGCTTGCAGAAGAGTCACATTATGGGAGTGTCAAATTCAATACAGTTGAAGCAAGACCATTGCTCTGTCTTCAGATCTGCACTGAGAGAAACCCCAAGGACACATTGGGCTTTGCAGTGTCTCTTGTGAAAGGAGAGATGTGACTCAGGTGTAATGAATACATACCAAACTCTTTATTGCTGCTGATTGCCACAGACAGATCCTGTATTTCTCTCTGGTTCCCACACTAACGCAGCCTAGAATGACTCTAAGAGCTTTGTTTGGTCTCCAAAACACTTCCCTCCCACCTTATAATCTGGAAACAAGAACCAGACCGTGGCAGATTGGCCCTCTTCTAATCAGGCAGGGAACAGAACAGACCCAAAGGGCATTCCAGGAGGAATTAGTCAAAGCTCAGTAACTTGTTAACAAATGCTAAGGCCACAGGGCAGATTCCTGACACAGTTACCTACTAGTATCTGCCCACCTTAGGCTGCTAGGTAAAGGCTGTATACAGCTCAAGAGGAGGTGGGGTGCGTAACACAGGAAAGAAACATTCCAGTCTCTTTCTGTCTGTGACCCTTCTCTGCCTGTAATGTTTGCTCAAGTTTACAAACCCCACAGAGGTTTTATCATCATGTTGGTAAAAACGTGTGGAAAAGACATGACCGGAGTCCCTGGGACTAATCACATCAGGAAGGGGAGCAGGCCTTGGCCGTGCATTGCAAACTCATTTTTGGGAGGTGTCACAGGGTAATTTGGGTCTTAAAGAAGAGCTCAGGCCCCAGCTCCTGCTTTTCCTCCCAGATCAGGTGACTTCAGGCCACAGCAAGGCCTGATGGGGAAGAAGGCAGGACAATATAAGGCTCCTTTCTGGTCCAGGAGTGAGCAAGCTGGGGAAGGATTACTGATTTTGTGTGATGAAGGTTGATTGGTGGAGACCCACTGAGAAGAGATACTCTGGTCCCAGTGGGGGGGGGGGGGGGCGGTGAAGGGGGGGTGAGGGAGGACGGTTAAACCCTGCACCAGGGCAGGATTAAGACATAGGGGCACTACAGGCCTGTGCTTAGGGCCCGAGCTCCTAGGGTCACATGATCATGTTAGAGCAAAGCATCATGCCACCCATCCAGCTGGAGGATGGCTATTTCTACCGGCCATGCATCTTGATCAGAAAGTTAAACCAATGCCCCCATAGGAGTCTTTAAAAAGAGCCATATGGAGCTTTAGAAAGGAGACCAGCTAAACACTTGGAAGACACTAAAGAAAAATATTATAAAAATAACCTTAAAGCTGAGACACAGGCTCAGCCCCCACAACTAAGGTCAGAGTTTCATAAGAGCTGAAATGACCGCAGCAGCCACATGTGGCGCATCCAGCATCAATTGCCAGTCCCAGCTCTGGGGCTGGGGGTAACGCGGAGACGCATGCACAGAGTTAGTTGTTAACTATTTAGGGAGTTTTTGCTTTTCTCTGATAGCCAGGAGGCTAAACTTCTCAGATTTGTGAGGGTTGGGAGGCAATCTTACCAGCTGTAAGAAACTGGTTAACAAATGCGTAGGCCACAGAGCAGATACCCGACACAGTTACCTACTCTTATCTGCCCAGCTCTGGCTGCTAGGTAAAGGCTTTATACAGTGTCTGTGGCCATGGTACATAGGCACAGGCAAGTCTACAGCCACAGGGACCCTGAGTTGGGCTTGTTCACCTTCTGTACGAAGCTAGTTTTTTTTAAAACCCACAGCGGTGCTCTGGGACAGGAACAGTGAGTGGAGTACGGTGCTACTTGGCGTGAGTAAGGAAGGCAGTAGTGGGTTCTGAGAGAGACCCCATGAGAAAGATCTATATCCACATACAAAGATATTTTGTGTTTCCCTAGTCCTGGGCTATTCAGACTTTGGGAACCCAGAACTAAGCTCAGGAAGCCATGCTGTGGAAATACAGAACACAATATGGAGAACTAGAGCTGAGTTGCTGTATTTTCCCAATAGAGGACCATATTTTTGCTTTCTGTGGATTCATGCAACTCTTGGCACTTACCTGCCACAGCCCCTGAAGTTACCGTAGCTATTGCTGGGGTTTTGGTCCTCTTGCTGACCGTAGCCAAACATCTAAACAGCAGTCCATCTTCTGCCATAGCATAAATTACTCGAGGCATCGGAAACATGGAGCCAAGAAGGCTAAGGAGAGAAAAAGGCATTATCTACTAGTACAGCTCTCATAGTACACACGGGCCGAAGGCAGAAAAATGGAAGCACGTTCATCGCAGCCCAATAGCGGAATGGCTTTAGTTAACAAAGCTTCAATTCCAAGGTCTTCCCCAGTGCTGCCCCCACTACACAGACATACTACTTACTACTGGGAACAAGACGTCGGATGTGCAAATTTGGATACCTAAAGCTAGCCACTTAGGCCCAGATCCTTAAAAGGTCCTTAGGCACTTAACTCTCATTGATTTCAATGGCGTTAGGTACCTACGACCTTGGAGGATCTGTGCCCTACATCCAGATTTCGACTCCTGCATGGAAGTGGCCTGATTTTCAGAGGTGAGGAACACCCAAAAACCCCACTGGTTCCATGGAGCTGCTCCCACTTACAACTGGTCTGTCTGAGTCAGTCGTGTCTTGTTTCCCCAGGGCTACTGGTAAAGGAGTGCTTCTTTTTTATGTATTCAAGAGATACACTGTTTCAGATGGTCCTTAAGATGGAGATTTCCTGAGTCACAAATGGGAGCTTGCAGCTCTGAAACCAATTCTAAGAATTTGTTTGAACCCTTTGACACAGGGTGAAATCCTGACCCTTTTGAAGTCAGTGGGGCCCGGATTTGACCCAAAGGGCCTGAATCCTCTGGCACTTACCCCAGCATAGATCCAAGTAACATCACTGAAGTCAATGGAGTTACACCAGTGTAAGGGACATAGGACTAAGGCCCTTAGCTCATAACACACAGAAAGAGGAGACAATGGAAATACAAATCTGCACTGAGAAGGGTACAAGACAATAGCATCTCACCTAGTAGAAAGGGCACAAAGTGAACCAACGGCCACTGCATAGTTGGCACCCTCCCAGCCCACGTATTGGAATGCATTGGGTAAAGGACTGTTTGGATCAAGCAAGTAGTAGGGCATCATGAGCGTGAGAGCAGCTGACACGCCAAAGTAAGCAACGAAGCAGATCAGGAGTGAGGCGACGATGCCAATGGGAATCGCTTTCTGAGGGTTTTTCACTTCTTCGCCTAGAACAAAGACAGTTAAGTTACAGCCACAGAAAACAAAGAGACTAATTCAATGAGACTCACAGGCGAGGAGGGGCTTTCAAAGGAGCCAGGGAGAGTAAGGTGGCCAGGTACTAATGACAGTCAAGAGGAGCCAGGTGCCTGCCTGCCATTTATGTCCCTGGAGATCTTCCTCATAATCATTTCCTTAAAGGGAACTGCCAACACTTTGTGTGACAAGTTTTAGAGTTGACTGTTTGAAAAGAATCATTATCACTACAATTCAGATAGCCAGCATTCGTTCCAAAAGAGGGCTGTGTGCTTCAACCCCGATACAGTTGCTCTCATCTTTAATTCAGAGGGGCATCGGGCACTCTGAATCAGGTTCATCTCTGGTGTAAATTCAGTGAGTTCAGAGAAGACTTTGGTCCTAGGTGCCCCAGCAGGTCAAAGGGAATGGAAGGTGCTCTGCTCCTATCAGGAAGCACTTGAGCTAATTGGAAAAATGGACCAAAAAAATTCTCTGTGGAAACTATCAGTCGCTTTCCTTCCACAGGTTCCAAAGAGCGGGGCTGGATTTTCATGTATTCAAAATTCTGTGAAAATGTATCCATTTTGGTTTTGACATGTCATAGATTCATAAAGTCCAAGGCCAGGAGGGATCACTGTGATCATCTAGTCTGACCTCCTGTATAGCACAGGCCATAGAAGTTCCCCAAAATAATTCCTAGAGCAGTTCTGTTAGGAAAACATCCCAGCTTGATTTAAAAATCGCCAGTGATGGAGAATCCACCATGATCCTTGGTAGGTTGTTCCATGAAGAATTATCCTTTCCGTTACAAATGTATGCCTTATTTCTAATCTGAATTTGTATAGCTTCAACTTCCAGCCATTGGATCAGGTTATACCTTGCTCTGCTAGATTGAAAAGACCATTATTAAACGTTTGTTCCCCATGTAGCTACCTACAGACTGTGATAAAGTCACTCCTTAACCTTCCTTTTGTTAAGCTAAATCGACTAAGCTCCTGGAATCTAATAATATAAGGCAGGTTTTCTAATCCTTTAATCATTCTCAAAGCTCTTCTCTGAACCCTCTCCAATTTATCACCATTCTTTTTTTCCATTCTTTCTCCTCTCTAGCCCCCATCTCAGTTTCTTTTATTCATTTTATTCCGGGGGAAATAAAGAGGAGAAAACTCCACAAAACCTACGTTTTCATATTATGAAACCGAAAATTTTGAAAACAAATGTTTTGCCAGAATTTCTAAATTTTGAAAAAAGGCCATTTTTCTAGCCCCAACCCAAAAAAAACCCCAAAAACCCCACCATTAAAACCTGTGACTAGCCAGCTCTCTTGAGCACCTTGTAGATCAGGACCCATGAGGCCAAGAGCCTGTCTCAAGGACACACAAGGTGACCGTATCAGAGCTGGGGACAGAATCCTGTCTCCTGACTCCCAATCCTGTACTTAGCCCAAGATCATTTCTCCCCACTGCCCCACACTTCAGCATAGCGCACTGCTGCATTTCCTGGTTTCAGCTAGGACTCAGTGCAGTGGAAGCCTATTCTTGAAGTTTTACAAACCAACAGAAAATGGGAAGTCCTGGAATTTCACAAGAATAAAGAATGGAAGGGTACCATCTGGATGTGCTGTTCAGTGAACGAAATCAGAAATATTATTTAGTTGCATTGTAGTAGCAACTAGAGGCTCCCAGTCAGGATCAGGGGCTCAGTGTGCTGGCAACGGTACAAATCCAGAATAAAGGATATTCCCTGTCTCAGAGTGTATAATGCAAGTCTTAAATTTAGAAAAAATAGGCAAGAGAAAAAGATGGATGGGTGACCCTAAAACTGAAAAGATGAAGTGATCCCACAGGACAGCCAGTGCACAGCATGATTTCCTGATTCAGCTGAAAAGAGGTTTGAGTTATTTGTAAATTGTGTCATGTGAGGTTACTGAGGGCAGCCAAGCTCATAATGGGAAACAAGTGTTCTCTCACAATGAGAGCTTTCTGCTTACCTGTGGTGGCAATACAGTCAAATCCTACGAAGGCGTAAAAGCATGTGGCCGCCCCCGAGAGGACTCCACTGAATCCAAAGGGCATAAAGCCCCCAACGCCACGCTCCAGATCTCCTACCTGTGTTTGACTGAAAAGAACGAGAGATCAGGAGAGGTTCTGCCTCGGTACAGACACCTATCTGAAGTGCGTTCCTGTAACAGAATCCACCATAACTGGAGCTGGAGGGAGTGTGGTTTCAGGTACACATGGTCAACAGACCTATAGAGGACAGGATGGCATGTACTACAGCTTACACTACATAGAGATTTGAGTCAGCCTGTGACCGGCTCGGGAACCCTTTGAACACTCAGCATTTAAGGCTTGTTCAGATCGTCCATGGTTTTCTAGGGTTTATTAACATGGCTGAGGTGGGAGGAGGAGTGGGGAGGAAAGACTGAACTTGGTCTCCTAACATCTCAACCTGGCAAAAAGTTTAAACTTATTGAATTCTGAAAATGGTGAATGGATACAAATGCTCAAAGGAAGTTTACCCACTTTCAGGCCCTCCACTGATCTTCTATTTTAAACAAAAGTTTATTTTAAATAACTCTGGCCAAAATATGGCCTCATCAGATTTTTATTTTCAAAAATTACATCTCCTGCTTACTATTGTAAAGATTTTTAGGTAGGCCCTAAATCCTGAACAGACTTAAACCCGTGCTGCATTCTGAGCAGTCCCATTGTAGTAAACAGGGCTACTCTCAGAGTGTGAGTTAAGCACATGCATAGATTGCAAGTGATCAGGGCACAAAGGAGGTGGCCTACAAATGCAATCATGAGCCACATGTTCTCACACTGGCCTCCAGTTTTGGTTGTATAAATAACTGTGGGCACAACTTTTATTAATGGCATTAATAAAAATTAAATTAGGGCCATTAAATAATCTAAACCCTGGATTTGTCAATTCAGCTATATAGACAGCTAAGTCCCCTAAGCTTTGGAAGCCCCATTACATGTGAAAATAATTTAGACAGTCCAATGTTGATGTTTCTGGAGATGCAGCTAAACTATGCACAAACCCCAGCTCCTCTGGCACATGTCACCAAAATGCAAATCTAATGGGTTAAAAAGCTATAACTAAAGTGAATAATTATCACGACATGCAGGGCAATGCTGGTGCTGAGTCATGCTGTGTCCTTTTCTACAGAGGGAATTATTTACCAGAGAATAAGTCCACTATGGGCTGAATCCTGAAAACCGAATGAGGCCCATTAAAGGCCCTACATGCATCTGAATCAAATGGTTGCAGTGCAGAGGGGTGGGCAGGATGTGGGGAACCCAGGCCAGGGGCCTGCACCACTCCAGCTTGCTGTAGAACTATGCTTTTTGGGATTTCCCTGCACTCCAGCACAAGGGGCTAAGGTAGAAAGCCAGGTGATCAGTCCCAGGTTTAGGAAAAGAGAGGGATAACTTGACAGTGCTGAAGTGTGCACAGTGATGACAGCGTTACTAGAAGTGGAACGAGCCATTAGCTTCACAGAAAATCTCCTAGTAAATGTACGGGTTTAAATGACTCAAGCTGGACAATGACCATTTAAATGCCTTCCAGTACTGTATATATGCCCAAGCTATGGTGGAAAACAACTAAAAAACATTTCACTGCTCAAATGATTTCAGAAACTGTAGGATTCATCCAATGTAAGCACTTAGGAGATGTTGTTACAGAAACAGAGCTCAACCTTAAATTCCTTATTCAGAGCCAGACTGTGTCCATGTCCCTCTCACCCTCCTAGCAAATAGATCCTCACAGGGGTTTTCTCCCACAGGGCCTCCCAGCTGTGTTTTTAAACATGGGTGATCTAGTTCTAGTCCCAAGTGTCTAGTCAACCCTCTCTCATGCAGAGCTCCCACTGACATTCATGGAATTTCTGCCTGAGTGCAGACCGAGTGACCACTTGGCAAAGCCGTGAAATTTGGCCCATAATGACTACACGTGAATCTCTGAGGTGGTCCCTGAAAACAGATCGACTTGACTACGCAAACCTGAGAAGAGAAGAAATGCTGTGACATACTTGTTTCTAGGTGAATCATTGGTCGTGTTATAGATGTCGTCGATGGTGAGGTGCCAGTTTTTGACTGATCCCTTCACAAAACCTGACACCATAACAAAGCCGAGGACGAGAACGTTGATGCAGGTGAATATTTTGTTAACCATTGCAGATTCTTTCACTCCACAAGTTAAAAGCCCTGGAAAAATTACAAAGAACAATCATCAAAGGGGTAGTCGTGTTAGTCTGGATCTGTAAAAGTGGCAAAGAGTCCTGTGGCACAGGACTCTTTGCCGCTTTTAAAGAACAATCAGACATTCCTTCAACAACAGCACATGGCCCAGCCACAGCAGAGCAAAGGGAAGCCCTCACTTTTTGTGCATGTCTCTCTCACTGCATTACTGTGCTAATAAAATACCATTTAAGTGGTCTCTCTACACTGGAAAGCTGCTAGGTTGAGTAAAAGTCTAATACAAAAAGATAGGGCCCAATCCTGCAAACCGTATTTTTCATGAAAACAGTCTTATTAAAGTCAATAGGACTGAGCCCTTAGTAAATACAAACTTCATCCAGAGACCACAGATCAGATTAGCTCTAAGCCTTGGAGAAAGCACCACTGGTGGTTTTTGTGAAGTAGCTCTTTGTGGTCATGCAGTCCCTGACTAAAGAGTAGAAGTCAGCAATACCAGCCATCTTCAACACTTCCTTGGGAAGATGGGCAGGTATCATGCCAGTGTAGGGATCAGACAAAGCAGGTCAGTTATCTGACACTTAAATTGAATGAATCATAAGAACGGCCCTACGGGGTCAGACCAAAGATCCATCTAGCCCAGTATCCTGTCTTCCGACAATGGCCAATGCCAGGTGCCCCAGAGGGAATGAACAGAACAGGTAATCATCAAGTGATCCATCCCCTGTCACTCATTCCCAGCTTCTGGCAAACAGAGGCTAAGGACACCATTCCTGCCCATCCTGGCTAATAGCCATTGATGGACCTATCCTCCATGAATTTATCTAGTTTTTTTTTTACCCTATTATGGTCTTGGCCTTCACAACATCCTCTGGCAAGGAGTTCCACAGGTTGACTCTGTATTGTGTGAAGAAATATTTCCTTTTGTTTGTTTTAAACCTGCTGCCTATTAATTTGGTGACCTCTAGTTCTTGTGTTATAAATCACAGAGGAAGAAGCCATGGGGAAAATCCTGACCCCACTGTGGCCAAGGGAAGTTCTGGCATTGACTTCGCTATGAGCAAGTTTTCAGCCCATTTCTTAAAAAACTTTCATCTTGAGGAATAGCATGTTTTTAAAAGTGTGAGCAATAACGACAATGAGTCAGCACTCTACATTCAGAATAACAGATTTTGTTTCTCTTTTTCGATCTTTAGCTAATAACTAGAATTCCTACTCCCTTGCTTGCTGTTTAAGAAAGAGGTTACCTGTGTAACCAAAATCTGACATGTAGTCTTAGTGATAAACACCAACGAGAGGTGTGAGCAGTGCTTAATTTCTAATGGAAGAGGCGCTGAGGCTCAAGCAATTAGGTGCCAGGGCTCAAGCAATTTTTTCACATTCATAACTGATGCCGCAAACCGAGAGGTGCCGGGGCTCTGAACTGCCAAGGCTAGAGGTGCCAGGGCTCAGCCCTGGCACAAATTAAGCACTGAGTGTGAGGAGGGGGAGGGAAACACTGTGATGGGGACCAGGATTTGGCCAACAGTGAGTTTATTTCACTCACAAATGTGGAATTCATAGATTATATGGTGAGAAAGGACCGTTGTGATTGTCTGGTCTGACCTCCTATACAACAAATGCCCAAGTTTGTCTTGTTTAAATAAGGAAATAAGCCATGAAATAGGCGGTGGACATAGCAGAAGGTCTAGATAAAGCAGGGTGGGCAACCAGAAAATAAGAAATCAAGCACCAAAAAGGAGGTGATTTCGAGAGCTGAGACAGGCATAAACTACAGGGCATATATACAGTGGCAGAGCTAATAGAAGGGCGGGGGGGGGCGGGGAGGGAGGGACCACGGGCTTTAGGTGCATGTGTAGCACCTTTTTCACAGGGCTGGAGCGAGAGTCTGCCCTGCGCTCACCTGGCAGCAGCAGCTGGGACCAGCTCCTTGCTCCAGGCATTGTGACATGAAGTGACATTGTGACATAGTGCCACGTGACCCTGTGTGCCAACACCACTCAGTCAGATTTGACCCGGCCGCCCCTCTGTCATGCTGGGCCAAACCTGAATGTTGCTGTGAGCTCGTGCGCCACGTTACAACGTCAGGAGTGAGGAGCCCGTCCCAGCCTGGGAGCCGGGAGCCACCACGGCTGCGTGGTGTGGAGTGGGCTTGTTCTCCAGCCTGCCACCAATGGCCCAGTTGCAAAACCTAGCTCTGCCACTGCTTACATGTGGCAATAAAGCTGCTTATTCTGAAGCTTCCTGAAGCTGCCAAGGTTTAGCCTGTTTGCAAAGTTTTCAAAATCAGAAGAGTTTTCCCATGCAGCAGGAAAACGCTGCTGACTCAGTTTTACTCTCAAATAGCAGTGAGTGAAACTCTACAGATAAAGAAATGGAAGTAAGCACATGCGTTTGAATACTGATCCAAAACAAACCCAAATGGAACCTCAGGAGGCAAATTCTGATCAGTCAGACCACTTTATATCGAGATTAACAGAGTACAGAATGTGTCCTCACATCATCTAACTCAGAGCTCAACACTTCAAGTCCTGTACAGGAGGGGTTCCGATGGACTCCATAGGAGTTCCACACTCATCAAAGGGCTTGCTAGTTCAGGGCTCTCGGCTGGGAACCTCATAAGAACATGGTTCCTTGTGAGAGTTCTGACACTTCCTGCTTCTGATCAGGCCTAAAGTATTGCAAGAAGAGCCTCTGTTGTGGTATCATGATATCGCCTACCCGCTAGGAAGCATACAGGTGCAGGAAAATGATTTTCTTTTAATTAATATGAAGTTTGACAAAGTTTTGAAAGGTTCAGCTGATACCTGGGTGAAAGTTCAGCTGGGTTTTCGTTTTAATTCCTGCTCTTGTACAAAATACTCCCTGCATTCCGATCAAAAACCAAAGACATATTTTGCATGTTATGGAAAGAGAGAAACCAGTTTATTTTTCATGCAGAATTATTTCTCTTGAGTCCTGCAATCACTGCTGCAAATTGAAGTCCACATATTTTAAAATAAACAGTCATGCACCAGGGTGTTACTTAGTTCTGTCCTTTCCCCCCACATTTTCCTGGCCAGTGTGCTATATAAACTGGCAGATCATCAGAGTGGGAGTTAGCGTAATAGAACAGAGTCCCTCTGCGGTAGTTTAAAAAAAATAAAAGCCCTCCATACCTGTCTCAGGGTAACAACTCTCTCTGTCTTACTCTACATGGTATAAAGATTGATTGTTTCCAAGTTTTCCTGTAAACACCTTGGATGCTTCCCTAATGAAAGAGCTTGCAAACAGGATGTGCAGAGTCTGAACTCCAGAGCTGCTAAATAGGTCAATCCAACACTTTGGGCAAACAAAGGAGCCTTTAATAAATTGTCCAAAATAAATGAGGGCGTTTGCTTGTCCACCAAAAGCAAAGAATGAAATTACAGAAAAGGAACGTATTGTCCCAGCAACCTTCCCAAAGGTTTTACCTGTTAAGATGAAGATGATGAACACGGAGAAGATGTCTGGATATTCTGCTAGCACCCCCGGAGCGTTCATGGTCATGTGCTTTTGGCAGAAGCGCTCGATGTGCTTGCCTGTGAGTTCATCAAACGTCGCGCTCCATGCTCTGGCCACGCTTGATGTTCCTACCAGAAAACAGGAAGGACGCAGAGCACTTTTCATGACTAGAAAATATTTCTAAATGAGCAGCACTACGTAGGGCAGAGCTGACCCCTGCTATTCAGTTAGAAGGGGCAAACAGTGAACCCTCCCCCACAGGTCCACTTGGAGGTTCGGCTTCTCTACAAAACCAAATCTCAGAAGACAACCCCTCCTGCAGAAGACCTAGCCTAGCAATTGCTTACCCTCCCCCCAGCAGCCTTCATGCCCCCAAGACCCCTTGTGCAGAAACCGCTTCTCACACTGTAATAAACCACTGACTTCAAAGGCATTCCACTAGTGTAGACGTTGGTGTGAGAGGAGAAAGAGGCACTAAGACGGGAAAAGGGGGATGAGCAGGTTAGCAGGAAAAGCAAATCACAGGAAGGTATAAGATATACCAGGCCTCCTCCTTTTAAGTCACAGTGTTTCCCCAGTGCTGCCCATCCCTCCCGTGAGCAGGAACAGCTCCCACTGACTGAATGGGAGTTGAAGGAAAATGCAAACTGATCGCTGCTCTGCAATTCAAACCTAGGTTTACAGGGAGATAAAATCTGCTCAGTCACACTGCTGAAAATCCAGAGAGACTCTACTGATTCCGGCTGACTCAATGGGAGCCAGGTCAGTCCTTAACAGAGAGCAAAGCAGGCCCCATGTATTTCAAACCCAATTCTTGAGCAACTGAGCCACCCCCCAGCTTGAAGCATTGCCTAGGAAATAGAAGCTATCATACAAAATAAGAGAAATCCTGGAGTGCTGGGTAAATTCATATTCAAGTTCTACAGCAGGGACAGAAAAATACCGCACTGCAAGACAAATGCTGAAATGCAGTTCGCAAATTCGGACACGGTGTAAATAACTTTGGAGCTTTTGAAGATTAAAAATCCCTCAACACTCTTTCAACATTGACACTTCCTTTCCTTCTCCTGACTGTCTAACCTCTTCAAGTGCATGCATGTAATGCACATCCAAGGAGCTACAGAACAGACCAGCATTCAAATTGGGTTTTATCTAGGGTTTTTTTGTTTTGTTTTGTTTTTTAAATATATATCCTCAAAACTGTGGTTTAGGCTCCAGAAGTTCCCCATTGCTGACAACAGGTGCAGCTGATCCAATGCTGACCATGCTTCAGATGCAAGTGTAGTAGACAGGGATCAACATCGTTCAGTGCCATTCCAGTAGCTGCAGCCAAAACCTCCTGAGACACAATGTAGTCCCAGTGACTTCAACAGGATGAAGTGTAGCAGTGGGCACTACTCCAAGGAGTGAGTATTGGCAGGGTTAGGCCCCACCAATGACCCCTTGTGACTATATAGTACCATTTTTTATAAAACTTTTCACCCTAACAACTGTAATTTTTTCACTGTTAACACGGATGTGAAATCGCTCTTACAACTGAAAATGAAATTAATACCAAGAACGAGAATTCTAATTGAAAATACGGGCTGACAAACTAATTCTCACAGATCCACTATTTAGCCAAAAAGACCTGAGTGAAGGTCTTGTGATCATTATAAACTAATACAGCTGTGCAGGAAAAGATAGGGCATAACTGAGTCCTGCAGGGCTTGCCCATATCTCAAGTCCAAGCACAAGGGGCTAGGGGAAAGCAAGCTCCCTTATCATCTGTCCCTGTTTTCTCAGACCCATTTAGCAGGGCATCACCCCCCTCTAACAGACATTGATGAGCTATAGCCTTGGCCTAGGCCAACATAGGTAGGTCTTTTTGCTCAGGCAGTAAAGGCTCAAGCCACAGGGCCCCAGTTCAATCCCCATAAAGGTGTTGTGTTACAAGTCACTACTCCCTCTTGTGAGCAAGCTGGCAAAGAAGGGCATGGAGTAGGGTGACCACCCATCCAGAATTGAGCAGGACAATGCTGAAATGCAGAATTCAAGTCTGAGTCCTGGGCTGCATGACTCTGGGATAGGGTTGCCAATTTTGGTTGGCTGTATCCCCGGAGATTTCATCACATGACATAATCTTTAATTAAAGATTAATCTTTTAATTCCTGGAGACTCCAGGCCAATCCTGGAGGGTTGGCAACCCAACTCTGGGACAGCACTTGTCCCAGATTCCCTGCAGTGCTGCTCTGTGCCCAAGGCTCAGGGGTGGTGCCAGCCTTTTCCCGGTGGGGTGGGCTGAGGCGGGCCCCCTCTTGCCATGAGGCTCTGCCCCCTGCTCCACCCGCCCCAGGTCCTGCCTCTGCCCAAGCCAGAAGCTAGAGCTGGACAGTAATAAGAGCTGCCCAGGGAGTTCAGGCCACTGTGGGAAGCCCTGGAACTTCCACCTGCCCTAGGCGGTGCACCTTGGCAGGCGGGGACAGGCCCATCTAAGCCCAGATCCTATGATTAACTTTGCTCAAGTGAATGTGTTTGCAGGATCAGGACCATGAGACCCTATCTAGCCCTAAATCCCCCAGACAGCTTCTGCTTTATTGGTGCTCTCATACCGTGGTGATAAAGGCCATATAAGTACAGTATCTAGATAAACGAGAACTGCTGGACTACAGAAGTCTTCTGTTTATTGCCACAATTAAACCCTGGAGGATGCATCTGTAAGAGGTAATTAACATTTTTTTATAGAACAAAACACCTTGAGAGGAACCTATTTTGGATATCGGGGGGGGGGGGGGAAGAGGAGGATCAGTTTGTTTGGAGTTTTTTTAAACTACATGTTATCCCCTTCCTGACATCAACCCAATTCAAAAAGAATATCCGAACACTAACTTCTGGGCATCTTACCTGTCACTCTCTCATTTTATACACAAAATCTAGAATGTAAAGAGGTTTCATGTAACATACAGAATGGAATCAATACTAGCCAAGACAAGCAGCACTTATGTTACCAAGCAAGTCTTTATCTGATTTCCAGGGTGCCTGGCAGGAGATCAATCTCAGTTTTAATGGTAATATTTCCCATAAAGTAAAAATTAACTCCCCCGCCCCCCCCAATAATATAATAGCAAATTGTTTGTCATTGTAGCTAATGGAGTTCTTCCCTTAACTGGTATGGTGATTTCAGCCTGAGCTCTGGCACCATGACAAGTGGCACCATAATACATTTGAAACGTTTGATAACTTGATTAAATGGACGAATCTTTAATTAACCAAAACGGTTTCTTTTTAAACCTTAGAAGTGTGAACTGAGTTGTCCACTTACTCAGGGCCTGAGCCAAAGCCCATTGTAGTCAACCAGAGATTTTTCCATTGACTTCAAAGGGCTTTGGATTGGGCACTGGACTGAAATCAGCAGAAGTTAGGCACCTAAATATCTGTGAAAATTTGAGCCTGAGTGCTGCAACCCACACTGAACCCAATCCTGCACCCAGTAAAGTCAATGCAAAATACCTACTGATTTCAATGGAAGCAGAACTGGGTCCTTAATCAGCAAACACCATAGATGCTGAAGCAGTGAGAAGCTGACCCCCCTGCCAGCTGAACATCAGATTTTTCTTCCATAGCAGAAGGAAAACTCCTGATTCCTGGTAGATAGCTAGCAGGGCCTCAAGCCAAAATTGCATAAATCCGTTTAAACTAAAGGAAGCGGGAGTGGCAACCTGGCATTGATCCAAACTGTTAACCTATAATATTTACCAAGTTCACTGAATTTCCAGAAAGAGCTCTGAAATGCTCAGATCTGGAGGCTGCTGTAGGTGCAAGGTATTCTGTAGTTTCTATTTTTATAACAATCTGACTGTGCAAGTGAAAGTTAGTGTACAAATAAGACAGGCATTCTGGATGAATGCTACAGTATTTCTGCATGCCCCTCAGTACTTACCAATCACATAAGAAAGAATTAAATTCCATCCAGTGATGAATGCCCACAGCTCACCCACAGTCACATAGCTATAGAGATAAGCAGACCCAGTCTTTGGAACTCTAGCACCAAATTCTCCATAACAAAGTCCAGCCAACACAGAAGCCAATGCGGCAATCAAGAAAGAGATAACAATCGCAGGTCCCGCGTTTTCTCGTGCCACTGCTCCAGCCAGTACATAGACGCCCGCACCAAGTGTGCTACCTACACCAAGAGCTACCAAGTCAAAAGTGTTGAGGCATCGTGACAGCTGGCTCTCATCTCTGGTCCAGTCCACAACTTTCCGGCGAAGCAGCTTCTTTCCAAAACTGAGAAGTCCTTGGCAACCCATCCTTTTGTGGAGACCTGTTAGAAAGATGCTGCATAATTAGTTAAACCAGCGGTAACTCAGGAAACGTCATCTCTGCATAGTAATACCATACTGCTCTTGTATTTAAAGAACAAAACCTTTTCACTTTACACCTTTTGACTCTACAAACTGGCTGCCTGGGTCTTCAGAGTTTTATCTGCTTAGTGCACAGTCAAATCACTCCTGCTCATAGAACAACATATATGTATAAAATACTAAATAAAATTTACAATAAGGCCATGTGAAATTTACATTTCGGATGTTAGGTTATACACAATGTAAAAGGTGATATAACACTTAACTGAAATAGATTTATATTACAAAACTGAACTCATTGTACCAACTATGAAATCTATAATATCAACCCATGGAACAGAGACATTAGCTGAAGGAACAAACAAATTCATTATTCAGAAGACACTAGCCACACACCCTGGCTTAACCCCGTGATATAAATCAATGGCTCTTACTCAGTAAAAATCATTATTACAACTGCAGGAAGAAAGTTTAGGATTTCATACACCCCCCTGTTTAGTGTTTAGGAAAATATCTAAGTCAACGCTAACAGTAAAGCTTTTCATGAGCTACATGAATTCAAACAAGCAGCAAGGCAAATCTCAGAAAAATCTGCTGAACTGTAGGCGTTCCAAAGCACACAGGGTGAGGAAAGTATTTTCTCCTTTCATATAGAAGGCAGAACTCTTTAACTGTATTAGCATGTCAACACCCTCTGACAATTCTCTGTTAGGACCAAATGCAAAGATACATCTGCTAGATTTTTCTTCAGACAGGTGGTCGTTCACTCCCAAAAACCAGAAGTACCAGAGAACTATAAACTTCAGATTGGTACAGTAACTCCTCGCTTAACGTTGTAGTTATGTTCCTGAAAAATGCTACTTTAAGCGAAATGTTTTTAAGCAAATCCAATTTCTCCATAAGAATTAATGTAAATAGGGGGGTTAGGTTCCAGGGAAATTTTTCACTCAGCTGGGCCCTCAAGGGTTAACACACTACTGTTAATGTAGCCTCACACTCTACAAGGCATCACAAATGGAGGAAGGAGACACAATAGATGCATGGCAGCGGCTGCAAACATTCCCTGCCAAAACTGAACAGGATGAACTGAACCCATGCTATCCCACTGTAATGCACCACTCCCTCCACTTTCCACAGTGCCGCAGGGTGCGTGTGTGTGTGTGTGTGTGTGTGAGAGAGAGAGAGATGCTCATTGCCCCTTTAAATACGCTAACCGCACTCTAAGTGTATTGCCTTTTTAAGTAGATCAGCAAGTTGAGACACCAGCTGCTGCCAGCAAGCTCCTTCTGTCCTGAGCCCTGTCTCTGTGGAGATGGGGCACAGGAGCAGGGGTGCAGAAGCAGGGGGAGGGGGACACTGACATCAGCACCCCTCTTCCCCCCACCCCCTGCACAGCAAGCAGGAGGCTCCCCGGAGTAGCTCCAAGGCAGAGGGCAGGAGCAGCACTTGGCAGTGGGGTGAGGGACACCTGAACTGTCCAGCAATTGATAGCCTGCTGGGAAGCTGCAGCACAGGGAACTTAGGGGAACTGATGGGGGGCTGCTGGTCCATCCTGGTTCCAAACCCCCACCAGCTAGTCCAACGGACTGCTCCTCCTGCAAGCAGTGGACAAAGCAGGTGGTTGCCAAACAACGTTATAAGGAAGCATTGTGCGACTTTAAACAAGCATGTTCCCTAATTGATCAGCGACGTAACAACAAAACAACGTTAACCGGGAAGACGTTAAATGAGGAGTTACTGTATATGATAGCAACAGCCTGAGTATGAAACTCACCCCTGTGCAGAAGGTTAGCACACTCATAGACTTTAAGGTCAGAATCTAGTCGGACCTCCTGCACACTGCAGGCCACAGAACCGCACCCACCCACTCCTGTGACATTCCCAGGCCAGTTCCTCAACTGAAACTCACTAGAGCTCCAGTGTATCCAACAGAGCTATGTGGATTAAAGCCAGACAAGGATCAGCCCCAGAATCCCTTTTAGACTATGCAATAGCATCTCAGGGAAGTGGTGGAAACCCCTTGCTTGGGATTTTTGCATTTGACATCACTTCAGTCCCACTGGCCTTAAGTTGCGTAGGCCTTGTGCTGCCCTGCATTCACAATGGATAGTGATGGGCTGACCCAGTCGGCTAGAGGCACAGCAATCCACTCCCAAAGAGGGATCCAAGTTGGAGCTGACCTAGCACTGCACTCCCTGTATTCGCAGCACTTGCTTAGCACTCCCCATTGTCACATCCTAGTGACTTCACCAATCAATTACAGAGGGAACAGTGTCTGCCTGCGGGAAGGTTGCCAGAGAGCAGGGCCTTTATGGGGAACAGGAAGGAAATGGGAAAGATGGAGTGCCACCTTTGAGGAAAGAAATACATATGTTGACTTTGCACCAGCAGGTTCTTTATACCTTAGCCATTTTGTTCAGACATTTGTTCAGTCAACAAATCACACAGGTGTGGAGAGAGACAAAGGAAGAGAATTTCTACCATGTCAATCTATTGCAATTGAAAGTATTTCTCTGGATCTTTCAGTAGAACAACAAATAAAGAGGTCCCACAGATTTTAAGTTTTGCATTATGTCCGCAGAGTGTCCTTTGAACAACCACACGACAGGTATCATTGGCAACTCATCCAGTATAGCAGGTGATCCCCCAGCCCATGTTAAGAGTTGGCTAAGACAAAATTTTGGTACCAGCACACAGGCGCATGCCAATGGAGAAAAAAGTTTATATCCCAGTAAAAATACAGTCATGGCCATTTGCTAAAGAGGTTTCTTGGAAGACATCCCAGCATGGCAGCTGTCATGAGGCAGGGCCCAATCCAACTCCCACTGACGAGACAGAGTCTTTCCATTGACTTTAGTGGGAGCTGGCTCAGGCCATAAATGCATCCCAATTACACATTTAGCTGGTGCAAAGACAGTGTGTCAGTATGCTTGTTAAAATCTTTAACCTCCTGGTTCACACACACAAAACCACTATATTATTTGAGGGAAAAAAATCTAAAATGTCTTATTAGACACCTCAGCAAGAGATCAGTGCACATGTGTGTCTGGTGCAGTGACATCCTTCCCTCCTCTTTGTCTCTCTGCAGTCCATCAACCTTTCAAGCTACTTTGATCTGCTTCCTGTGATCTCACCTACAAAGGTATTTACCCAGCTATACCACCCTTCAAGGAGCAGAAGACAGCCCCTTGCAATACCGTCCATTCTATGTAGCCCAATCTATTCAAGATGGCATTTATTGCTTTGGATGAATGTCCCGGGGGGCTGATTTTTTTTCCCCTGTATCATTTTTAACAACACACAAAGTCATTTTGATAGTTTTCTCTCAGCCCAGGTTGGAATTTTATTTCCTTAATAAGCATCCCTTACTCCAAAGAGCACCTGTTCTTTATTCTGGCCTAATGACCATGATTTTTATATGTTAATTGACATGACTGTAGGTGCCCACCTGAAACTAAGTAAATCCTTGTCATCTTTTTATCTGAGCTTTAAGATACAGAAGAAGCACACATGCTTAATGTCATTTCACAGAACACAGAGTTAATCTACTCCATATCAAATAAAAAGGCAATCTGTCACAGGCTCTCATTTGTCCAGTCTAATTACCAACAGAGTTCCCCTCAGATTTTAGACACACTGTGTGAGCTAAACCATGAAATAGTCTTGCAGTGTGTTTTGCCAAAACAGAAGAAGTAATTTTAAAAGGTGTTCAGAACAACAGCAAAGGGGGCGATTCAGTAAAGAGCAGTCAGGTGAGGTCCATCGTCCCATACAGCTGTCTGGGACTCTGCAAGCAGCACCAGAGTCTTGGGCCACGTCTACACTGCAGACTTCTATCAGCATAGCTTTCAGTCAGGGGTATGAAAAGGGATGATCCCTGACTGACATAGCTGTGCCAACATCCAGCGTAGATGAAGTTATACCAACAAAAGCGCAGTTGTGCCACTATAAACTGTATCCACAGAGGGAGTGCTTTGCCAGTGTAGTACATTGGTATAGCTATACCAGCAGGTTGCTCTTAGTGCATGCCTGGCCATAGTGAATTCTTCATTTTGAACTGTTCTGCCTAATTCAAGCTTCCTCTTTCACTGTGCAGCTGCTTGCAAGGGGAATGCAATTTGGAAGAGAGGGCAGGACACCAGGCTTTCCTACAAACTAAAGGAATTCCCCCTTCCACCCTTGAGCTGTAGGGTAAATGGAGAATACATAACTGACACATCGTCCCAGCCTTCCATAGCTCTGGGAACAGAAACCTGCGTAGTTCCCAAAAGTGTGTGGCAGATCTATGTGCTGGTATCCAAGCAACGCATTTCTCATCTAATTAAAAAAACAATTGTGATCAAAAGAAAAATGTAACATTGTTGTCAGTTTCTATTGCTCAGCAGTATCTCTTTAATCATGAATAACATAATAGGTTTTTTTGCACACACTCTCTCTAAGTGCAATAAGAAAAAAATCATTCTCAGAAGAATGTAAAAATGGCCACACTGGGTCAGATCAAAGATCCATCTAGCATCCTGTCTTCCGACAGTGGCCAATGCCAGGTGCCCCAAAGGGAATGAACAGAACAGGTAATCATCAAGTGATCCATCCCCTGTTGTCCATTCCCAGCTTCCGGCAAACAGAGGCTAGGGACACCATCCCTGCCCATCCTGGTTAATAGTCACTGATGGACCTATCCTCTGTGAATTTATCTAATTCTTTTTTGAACCCTGATAGTGTCTTGGCCTTCACAACATCCTACGGCAAGGAGTTCCACAGGCTGACTGTGCACTGCGTGAAGAAATACTTCCTCTTATTTGTTTTAAACCTGCTGCCTATTAATTTCATTTGGTGACCCCTAGTTCTTGGGTTATGAGAAGGAGTAAATAACACTTCCTAATATACTTTCTCCACACCAGTCATGATTTTATAGACCTCTATCATATCCCCCGTTAGTCATCTCTTTTCCAAGCTGAAA